TGCCTAACCTTGAGTAGGGGAATTACCCCTTAGGCATTGAGTCTTATGTGAAGATTGTTTGAATGAAAATCTTGTACGCGAGGTGACGAGTACGTACTTCATTTATATGTGCAAATTATATCGATTAAAATTTATAGATACCCTTACGTATTAAAGTGAAATAAATTGTTGGAACACAATAAATCCTCGATTTGTCATGCTTCATTCCTTGTTTGTCGAGTTTGTGTTTATATGATAATTTGGTGTAAATTTCATTGAGATTTTTATGTGAATTTCGTGTGTTTGTGGATTCGAAGTTTTTGGAAATAATTTTATTATGGAATTTCCATCTACAAATAATTAATTAAGTAAGTTTAATTTGAGGTATTAATATATTTATCGAAAATTTGGATTAAAGAAGGAGTCGTCTTATGCTGAGTTAAATTTCTATCTTTGTTGTTGTTAGCAAGGTTTTATGTACTTTGTGTGGATTCTTGGGCTATTTGCTATGAAATTAATTGATTTTATTGTATCTTTTAAATTGGTTGTGGCCTATGGGCAATTTATAAAATGAATTGTTGTTTTGTATTGTCGTGGTAAGATCCGTGTAAACTGTTGTGTGATTTGGGTTACTGTTATGCGGCGGATAAGGGTGGCATTCCACTGTTGATATTATATTGGTATAAGGGTGGCATTTCACTGAGGTTATGTGTTGGGATATTTTCTGGACGGAGCGATAAGGGTGGCTATTAAGCGGAGAGATAAAGGTGGCAATTACAGGAGCGATAAGGGTGGCTATCGGAGGGATAAGGGTGGCTATGGTCAGGGATGATATGTGGTGACGTGGGAATATTGTGTTGGTGATTTTTATGCAATGTTGTGATTTCTTGGTGATTTCTTTTATATATTGTGCAATATATGTTATAATTCCAGTAAATTTGATAATAATCAGATATATGTTGAAATTATGATCCTGTGGATATTGCCGGCGGATTATGATATGGGCACGAGGTGCCGGGGATAAAAGATGAATTTATTATTTGTACGTGAAATGTCCGTACAGTTATGATATGAAATATGGGCATGAGGTGCCATGGTTATATAATGAGAATAATATTGGCACGTGAATTGTCCGTGCAGTCGTGATATGAAATGTGGCACGAGGTGTCGTGAGTAAATGATGATGATATTGGCACGTGAGTCGTCCGTGCGATTGTGACAAAAATATTGGCACGAGGTGCCGTGAAAATATGAAAATGGGCTGAGACCCGTATTTTTTATTTGAAATGAGGTGTCACATGGTGACTTTTCTTTGAAAGAATTATATTCAAAAAATATTGTTTGAAAGAATTTTATTCGAAAGATATTTATTTGGAAGAATTATATTGTGAAGATATTTGTTGAAAGAATTATATTGGGAAAATATTTGTATGAAAGAATTATATTAGAAATATTTTTATTTGAAAGAAGTATACTCGAAATATATTTATTGGAAGATATTATATCCTAAAGATTACTATTGGGAAGACTTATAGGCGAAAGATTTATATTCGAAGAATTTGATTAATTGCTCGTACTTGTATTCATTATTTGCTGAGCAATATATATGGTGTTCTTGTTGCCTGCTGTTTATAATACTTGTTGATTATTGTTGCCATCATTGTTATTGTTTCCTATTATTTTTATATGTTATACTTGTCACGACCCGGATTTCCCACCATCGGGAGACGTGATGGCGCCTACTGTCGGAGCTAGGCAAGCCAAATATTCAAAACCTTTCACTGATGACATTTTAACAATATAAAATAAACGCGACATTTTAATTAAAGCGGAAGACTTCAAACTTATATAACTGAAATAAAATTTGCGGAAATTGAAACACATTTCTACCCAGAGTCTGGTGTCACTAGCTCACGGACTACTATAGAGTACTAAAAACAAGTCTGAAATGATATTACATACTGTTTGTCTCGAAACAAAGAAAAACAAACTAAAACATAGAAGGGACATCGGCCTGCGAACGCCAGCTAGGCTACCTCGTGAGTCCTTGGACTGAAGACAGCTCCCGGGCAATCCTACTGCTGCTGTCCAAAAGCTGCTCCTAGATCTGTGCAAAAAGATGCACAGAGTGTAGCATCAGCACAACCGACCCCATGTGCTGGTAAGTGCCTGGCCTAACCCCGGCGAAGTAGTGACGAGGCTAGAGAGGACCTACCAAAAACAACCTGTGCAGATATATATATATATATACAAAGGAACGGAAATAACAACAAAAAACATCAAATAAAACTGGGGAGGGGCATGCTCGGGGGAATACAGCGAAAACATATCAACGGATATAATAACGAAACTACACCAATACTGTGACTCATATAAGTGGTCGGCGTGCCACACGATCCCATAATATATATTTATAAGTGGTCGGCACACACGATCCCATAGTATATATTTATAAGTGGTCGGCGCTCACACAATCCCATTTCATAATTCATAGGTGGACGGCGTTCCACACGATCCCATTTCATAATTCATAAGTGGACGGCGTGCCACACGATCCCATTTCATAATTCATAATACATATAATCTTTCTAGAGAAGGCCCCAATAAGGGAATTTAACAACATAACGATTTAACCTGGCAAGGGTACAACTAACAGCCCAAATATCCCGGCAAGGGAGAATACATATAATGCTTAAATCCCGGCAAGGGAGCAACAACAATAATAGACTACGCATCCCGGCAAGGGAATAATCACAACACTTCCTCTTTTAATCACTTCTTTCTCAATTATCAATTTTCAGTTCGAGCCAACGCTCCAATAATATACCAATCACATTTCTTCCTCAATTTCATTCACATTATATGAAACTTATCAATTAAACAAGGAAGATGTATCACAAAAATCTGAATTAAACACAATTAGGACTCACGGTCATGCTAGACTCCGGTGCATAGACAACCGCCACCATGCCTATACACCGTACTACATATTTAGCAGATAGCAAATAACATCCTAGTCCTATTCCCTCAAGCCAAAGTTAGAACAAACACTTACCTCGGTCCAAAGAATAGCAATCAATCCTCAATTACTGCCTTTCCTCTACAATCCGACTCCGAAACAATGATATCTAGGCATAATTAATTCAATAATATCAATAACGACTCAACGGTAACATCCCATAGCCTTGATATGAATTTCCTAGCATTCTTCCAAAAATACCAAAATTCGACACCGGGCCCACATGGTCCAAACACGAGGCTCGGACCAAAACCCAATCACCCATAACCCCACGAGTTCAAATATGCAATTTGTTTTAAGATTCGACCCCAATTGAGGTTGAATCACCCAAAATTCTCAAAACCCTAACTCTACCCAAGATCCCTAATTTATACTTTGATCTCATGATTTAGGGCTAGGAAATTAGTGATTTGTTGAAGAAATTAAGAGGGAATAAAGTTAGGAACACTTACCTATGGAGTTATGGAGGAAGAGGTTCTTCAAACTTGTCTATGGAGGGTGAAGGAGAAGAGCTCGTGTGTAAATAATGAAGAAATCCCGTGTTAAGTGTTCTGTTTTTAAGAAAAATTCACTGAAGGGTTTTTACTCTATGCGTTCGCGACACGGGGGTCGCGTTCACGGAGAAGGCTGCCTGTTACTCTATGCGTTCGCGAAGGGTAGTATGCAAACGCAAAGAAGGAAAATTGGGGGGGTCCAGGGGTTATTCTATGCGAACGCGATGGGCTATATGCGAACGCGGTGAAGGGGTTACCCGAACAATGCGAACGCGGGGATGTTACCGCGAACGCGAAGGAGGGGAGACACAAGGCAGTGCGAACGCGAGCCTTAGGCCGCGATCGCGTAGAACAAATGGTCTGTGTAAAAATGCAGCAAAAATCTGATCCTTTCCTAAGTTCTAGAACACCCAGAACTACCTCTGAATCACTCCCGAGCCCTCGGGGCTCCTAACCAAACACACACACTAACAAAACGGCCTCATACGAACTTAACCGAGCGATCAAATCGCCATAACAGCATCAAAATCAATGAATCAAACCCCAAAATCATCATTTTTCATTCTAACTTCATAAACTTCAAATTTTAGATATTTAGGTCCGAAACACGTCAAACGACGTCCGATTTTGACCAAACTTTACAGAAAGCGCTTAACACATATTTAAAACTTGTTCCGGGCGTCGGAACCAACATACGAGCCCGATACCTCAGTCTTTTAATCAAATTTCATTTCCATTTTCCTTAAAAATTTCAGAAAAACAATTTCACAGAAAAATTCTTTTCTCGGGTTCTAGACCTCGAATTTCGACTCCGGGCACATGCCCGAGTCCCATATTTTTCTACGGACCCTCCGGGACCGTCAAATCACGGGTCCAGGTCCGTTTACCAAAAATGTTGACCGAAGTCAACTTTAATCATATTAATATCAAAATTCTTCAAATTTTTCACAGAATTCACATGTTTCAACATAAAAGCTTTCCGGCTACACGCCCAGACTGCGCACGCAAATCGAGGCAACTAAAAGTGAGGTTTTCAAGGCCTCGAAAGCACGGAAAAAGAGAGAAATCCGGTGATGACCCTTTGGGTCGTCACAATACTGCCCAGGTTATTAGACTAGTGACTGTCTTGACTGTACCTCGTCACTACTCCACCGAGGTTAGTCTTGATACTTACTGGGTACCGTTGTGGTGTACTCAAACTACACTTCTATATATTTTTGTACAGATCCAGGTATTGGAGATAGCGGACTCGGACAGAGTTAGAGCGTGATCGCAAGGATTCAAGGTAGAGCTGCTTGGTCGTCGCAGTCCCTTGGAGTCTTTCCCTTTTATCGTACTGTCACTTATTACTCGAGCAGTATTGTATATTTAATTTCCTTCAGATCATTCATGTATTCAGTTAGAGTTCGTGACTCAGTACTACCAGTCTTGGGAGGTTGTGTGATTATTTCCGCTGTTAGTTCCGATTATAAAAAAAATAGCTTGAATTGTTATTATGATCGGCTTACTTAGCCTTGGAGACTAATGGACATCACGACGCCTGTGGTGGGATTTTGGGTCGTGACATCCAATTTTAGTGGCTTTGTGAAAACATCAGTAACTTGCTCTCCAGTCTTACGATACTCAATAACTATCTCTTTGTCTTGAACCAAGTCACGAATAAAGTAAAATTTGATATCAATGTGTTTGCTACGCCCATGAAAAACTGGATTCTTTTTTAACTCAATTGCAGACTTGCTATCACAAAAAATTATTGTAGGACTGACTTGCTTGTGTTGAAGAAATCCAAGCATTCTTCTTAACCACAATGCTTGTGTAGCACTACTTGTTGCAGCCATGTACTCTGCTTCAGCTGTTGATAAAGCAACAACTTGTTGCTTTTTGGAAGACCAAGAAAATACCCCAGAACTTAAATAAAATGCATAGCCAGAAGTACTTTTTCTTTGTATCGTATCACCAGCCCAATCACTGTCTAAAAATCCCACAAGATTACTATCATTAGTCTTTGAATAAAATATACCATCAGTTTACGTACCTTGAATATATCTCAAAATTCTCTTTGCTGCTTGCAAGTGGGATTGTCGTGGAGTCTCCATAAATGAATTAATTAATCCAGCTCCATAAGTAATATCAGGCCTTGTAGAAGTCAAGTACCTTAGACTCCCTACCAATTTTTTAAAATATGTAGGATCAACAAAGTTACTTGTCCCATCTCTAACCAACTTTAATTTTTCTTCAATAAGGGTCAAAATTAGTTTGGCTTTATCCATATTAAATCTCATTAGAATATCACCAGCATATTTTTTCTGAGAGATAAATATTCCATTATCTAATTGAGATACCTCAATGCCATGAAAATAAGACATTGAACCCAAATCAGCCATCTCAAACTGGCTAATCATTGCCTCCCTAAACTCAGAAATTAATTTAGGATTATTGCCAGTAAAAATTAAATCATCCACATATAAGCACATAATGAGAATATCTTCGCCAGGCTTGAATTTAATATATAAAGTATGCTCACATGGACATCTCTGAAATCCATGTCCAATAAAATAAGAATCAATACGAGTGTACCAAGCTCTAGGTGCTTGTTTCAATCCATATAATGCCTTCTTCAGCCTTTAAACTTTATTTTCTTGACCCCTTTTGATATAACCAGCAAGCTGCTCAACATATACTTCTTCTTCAAGTACACTATTTAAGAAAGCAGATTTCATATCCATTTGACAAATTTTCTAGCAATTATTGGCAGAAAGAGAAATTATCATACGAACAGTATCAAGTCTAGCAACAGGTGCAAATACCTCGAAGTAATCAATACCTCCCTTCTGCTTGTATCCTTTAACAACTAATCTCGCCTTAAAACGATCCACTTCTCCAGTTGGTTTGAACTTGGTTTTGTATACCCACTTGATCCAATTGGTCTTTTTGAGGGCGGTAAAGTAGTCAATTCTCATGTATTATTTTTCTCAATAACGTGAATTTCTTCATTCATTGCATGAACCCATCGATCATCTTTAACAGCTTCCTCAAAAGTAACTGGATCACAATCTGCAAATAAGGCAAAATTTACAATATCTTCATCGGATAAATCATTATCATCGCCAACAATATAATCTTGCAAACGAGCCAGTAACTGGCGTTGTCTTTGCGGGCGACTGGACGTCTCTGCTTGAACAGTATCCGCTACATGTTCCTCTTGATGTCTGCTAGAACTTCCTTCCTCTATGACTGGAATTATTGGTTGAGACCTAGGTGGTTTAGGATCCTTCTTTGACCAATCCCATGAACTCTGATCATCAAAAGTAACATCTCTGCTAATAATCACTTTTTCTGTATCTAGATTAAACAACTTGTAACCCTTTGTCTCATGACTATAACCAATAAAAATATATTTTTCAGCTTTATCATCCAATTTCTTCTCAAAGCATCACGAACATGAGCATAAGCAAGACAACCAAATACTTTTAGATGAGAAATATTTGGTTTCTTACCTGTCCAGACCTCTTGTGGAGTTTTTCCAAAATTAGACCGTGTAGGACACCTATTTAATACATAAATTGCACAGGAAACAGCTTCTGCCTAAAAACCTTTTGGGATATTTTTGGAATGCATCATAGATCTCACCATGTCCATCACTATTCTATTTTTTCTTTCAGCCACACCATTTTGCTGAGGTGTATATCTAGCTGTCAATTGATGCTTAATACCATGCTTCTTCAAATAATCATCACAAACAAGAAATTTAGTGCCCCTATCAGTCCTCAATATTTTAATAAAACACCCTCTTTGCTTCTCCACATAAACTTTGAAGCTCTTAAAAATATCACATGCATCAGATTTATTTTTCAAAAAATATATCCAAGTCTTTCGGCTGAAATCATCAATGAAAGTAATAAAATACTTACTACCACCATTAGAATAAACTTCAACTGAGCACAAATCCGAATGAATTAACTGCATGGTGCATTAGCTCTCCAAGCCTTGCCTTTCTGAAAAGGTTCTCTGTACTTCTTTCCCAAGATACACGACTCACACTTCTTGTCTGGAAAATCAATAGAAGGCAAACCATCAACCAAATTCTTTCTTGCAAGAAATTTTCAGACTCCCGAAATTCAAATGCCCAAGACGTAGATGCCACAACCAAGTATCATCACAGTTTATAGAACTAAAGCAAGGTAACATCACAATTGAGATAAAGAGGCCGCAAATGACTATTGTTCATGTTAAACTTTGCAATTAGTCCAAATTTATCATCACTGATTGTGCCAATCCTATACTTAAAATGCAAATCATACCCTTTTTCTGATAGTTTCCCCAAGCTCAATAAATTATGTTGAAGGCTCGGCACATAAAACACATCTGATATAAAATTAGAAGAACCATCTTTCACAGTAATGCGAATTTTTCCCTTTCCAACAGCAGGCACCTTTGCATTATTTCCAAGTCTTACTGTGCCTCTAAATGTTTCATCCAGATCAGTGAATAATTTCTTATTTTCACTCATATGATTGCTGCAACCCAAATCAATAAACCATTCATTCCCTTTAGTTTCTTCAATCCCAGAACTAGAAAACAATAAAGTCTCTTGTTTATCCCCATTATTTTCAGCCATCTTAGCATGTACTTCTTTATTACCAGATTTATTAGACCAACATTTGCTTTCATAATATCCAAATTTACCACAATTATAACACTGAATCTTAGATTTATCACGTCTTTGAAAATTTTGATGACCTTGTTGTTCGTTCGAAAAATTTTTACTATTTCTTTGTTGATAAGAAAAATTACCTCTACCACGGCCTCGAAAGTTATTTCTACCACGACCTTTACGTCTGAAATTCTGGCATCTTTGATTTGTTTCTTTAGGATAACTTGTCTCTTCTTTTGCTTTAGGTTGATTCACCTTTGCTTGCAACGCCTCCTCCACTATTTCGGGTGTGTCTTGAGTCAGGGACATCTCATATGTCACCAATTCACCTTCTAAATCATCAAGTGTAAAAGTGCTAAGATCTTTGGTAGCATCAAGAACCACCTTCTTCGTGTGACATTTTATACTCAAGGACCGCAATATTTTTTCAACCACTTTAACTTCATTTAGTACTTATCCATTGGTCCTCATGCCGTTGACAATATTAGTAATTCTTGTAATGAATTCTTTAACAGACTCTGTTGGTTTCATTTGGGCCAACTCGTACTGTCTCCTTAGCTCTTGAAATTTGACATTCTTTACTTCGGCGGAACCTCGATGTGAATTCACCAAGATTGTCCGAGCCTCCTTTGTTGATTTTGCATACAAAAATTTGTAGATACACGCAATTCAACCTTGCTGGTGAGATAGTAACGTGCCTTATAATCCAATTGTCTACTTTTCTCTAATTGCTTAGCTGCATCACCTCTCAATGTTCTACCTTCTGGGGGTTTCTCAAATCCTGTTTTAATAATGGGCCATAATCCAACAACATTGAAAAAATACTTCATATATTAATGTCAATCTTCAAAATTATTTTTGCCATCAAACTTGAAAACTTGGCAATCATATAAATATGGAGTATCCATAATTTTTTTAGGATCTCCACCGACTCTGACAGAATCTCACACAGGCTCTGATACCAATTTGAAAGATTGAAATACCCCCAAAGAACAATTTAGGCACAAGCAAAAAAAAATTAGCAAAAGCTATATAGAAGAAATTTATTAAATTAGGGAGATAATTTGGTAGGAGCTTTTTTCACAACTCATAAACTCTTGAATCTCTCTACAAGAAAAAATAAGTAGTAACACCCCTATTTATAATACTACAAAACCAAAAACCTATTCCAATATAAAATTGGTAAAAAAAACCTAACTAGACATGAATTAAATAAACTACTAAATATCAAATCCTAGATAACTTAGGAATACTAATTAAATCTTGGTTTAGTTTTCAATTACAAAAAATAAATCTTTTCCCTTGGTCATCCTTACTTTTGAGGAACTTTTTGGGATGCCACGTGTCTTTGTTTCATTGGCTTCATTGTCATGTCATCGCGCGTGAATTAAAGCTTGTTGTTTGTTTCACTGTCTCAGTATTTTGTGTCTAAAAGCACATTAATTTGGGTTCAGGTGTTTAATAGAAATAAACCTCAGAACAAGTGTTTAAATGAAAAATTCAGACAAGTTTTAAGGGGCATATATATATATATATATATATATATATATATATATATATATATATATATATATATA